ATACCTCCTCGCAACTCATATTCTCCTGATACAAATTTTCAAAATTGGTTGCTGAAATTTCAAAAATCCCGCTCGGGAATTCTTAGAATTTGACGTCATCAGAACTCCAAGAAGTGGCACGAAGGATACCTCCTTGCAACTCATGTTCTCCTGATACAAATTTTCAAAATTGGTCGCTGGAGTTTCAAAAATCCCGCCCAGGAATTCTTGGAATTTGACGTCATCGAAATTCCAAGAAGTGGCACGAAGGATACCTCCTCGCACCTTATGTTCTCCTGATACAAATTTTCAAAATCGGGTGCTGGGATTTCAACTTCTCAAATTTCCAAACAACTTAAGTAAGTAAAGTAGCACAAAAGACACCTCCTCGCAACTTATGTTCTCCTGATACAAATTCTCAGTATTTTGTTTTTTATTTTTTTATTTCTAAGGTTTGGAACAATTTCTGGGAATGGGAATGAAAGGATTTATAAGTAAATATGCAAATATATGTTTTTATTCATATTTATTTTCAAATACTTTTGTACATCAAATGACTTAATATATCTTATTAGTAAACGCATACATTATTAATACTTAATTCTATGACGCAATTATTATAATAATATGTACATATTAGTGTGCGGTGTACTCCAGGCTCTTGCACGATGTCAAGAATGGACAGATGAGTTGCTTTTCTGCATTACATAAAACCTCGTTCGTAATAGGCTATTTGTACCATTGCTTGTCTGATCTGAACGCACCCTTACTCAGTTCGCGCGTGGCGCCATCTACTTGTAGAGAGTGGAACTATAATATAGATTACGCTGATGGTACATTACCTTCACACAGGATACCGACAATTTACCTTCAGAGCTCGGTAAGTATTCTGCATACGCTTGTCACAGTTCCGTGCTTTGTTGTTAGATGGCGCTACTAACAACACTCTGTGGCGGTCATTTTGAAAGTTGATTAAAATCTTCCTAATAAAACATTTTAAATGGATCTCTGCTGGAAATGCACGACAATAAAAATTAGGTGATGTTATTCTATCAATTGATAATATGGAATACAAGCAAGAGAATAACGTTTATATAATCTTTAGCTTATGTGATTATCCTCAAGGGAGCGCCGCCACTATTCTGTGACGAGTTTCCTCAACTAACTTCAATATGGTCTGTTGTACCTTTTCGGATTGATCTGGGTAAAACTTGGTATAACGGAGGGGCAACAAAATGTTGTCGAGATTGGGTTTTCGTAATGGTAAGTGAAAATTGGAAGTTAAATTAATTGTAATTATTTAACTAAAAAACTTTTTACGTTATTGTTAGCTCACTACTTATGATATTTTACTATTAATGTTATCAATTTCGTGTCAATTATTCTATCGCATTATGTAATAATATAAGACAAATGTGTCGGTATTTTGCTTTAAAATATATTTATTCGAACTTGTATGTTGAATCTTTGCATACATAATATATTTTAAAAGATATGGATTTAAAAATTTACTATCTAATTATTAAGAAGTGATATTAGGTCATACCCAATTATGGGTATCTACTTACTAAACAGTGTATGAAATGTACTAATGAAACTTTGTATTTTCAGTAATATGTTTTATTGCTTATAATCTGTTTTATAGCTTGTGCTCAAATAAAATCTATAAGCGCTCGTGGAGCTCAGACTAGCGCATTAGTATGCCCTGCAGATGATCCACGACGAATGAAGCGTCCTGAGTCTCATCCTCCTGTTAGATTAGGATTTATTCCAGAAACCTGGTTTACATTCTTTTATCCTAAAACTGGTGTAACAGGTAACTTAATAATTTGTAATATATATAGCTATTTTATCATAAATAATGTCATATATAGTTTTTATATCTGTTTGAATATTTAGGTCCATACATGTTCTTATTCAGTGTATCAACCTATTTAGTTTCTAAAGAATGGTTTGTCTTGGAACATGAGTTTTATAATGGACTCTCATTACTTTCAATTATAATGTTTGTTCATATTAAGTATGGTGCAAAAATTGGAGCAGCTTTAGACAAAAAGGTTGCAGAATATGATGCTGAACTTGAGCAAACAAGAATTGATGAATTAACAGAGCTTGAAAAGTCAGTGAAAGAATTAGAAAAACAGAAATGGATGGCTGATGCGCAATTCTTAATTTATGATATTAAAAAACAGAATATATTGGTACAGCTAGAAGCTGCTTATAGGGAACGACTTGCAAAGGTTTACAGTGAGGTAATATATTAGTATTTAATCATACAAAAACCATAATTATAAATTATAGGAGTTTTCATTGCAAGCAAAGTATAATACAGTAAATATTACATAATATAAAATACTAGTACATAAAAGCATTAAAAAACTGTATTAAATATTAAAGAGTAAAATTCATAATACATCATTTTTATTTATATTATTTATATTAATAATCATAATAATTAATTACAGGTTAAGAAACGTCTCGATTACCAGGCTCAAGTTGAAGCTGTGGAGCGCAGAATTGCTCAGAGACACATGGTACAGTGGATTACAAACAGTGTACTAAAAGCTATTACACCAGAGCTAGAAAAGGCAAATTTAGCCCAGTGTATTTCTGATCTTGAAGCTCTTGCTGCCGCAAAAGCTTAAAATTTTGCATTCAACTACAAAAAGAATAGGAAAAATCTAGTGAACTTGAATAGTTCATTATAACGAATATTACAAAATAATATGCAGCAATATTGGAGATCTACTACTGTTCAGTTATTGTTTATTATTGCATTGTATATTACATAATTGTAACATCAAAAATGAATAAATATCACAAAAAAATATGTTTATAATAATTAATTTTTCTTGCCCTTTAAATCATTTTATTATTAAATTTGACTATCATCTGCCGATAATAATATACTAATTCATTTAAAAATCTTAATATTCATATTTTTATAAAACCTAATAACAAATATCATACTAATTGTGAAACAGTAGTTTCCATTATCTTTTTTGCACCACAACCTTGTCTGTACTGAACTTTTTACAATTTCAAGTAGTTATTGATCCATTTGATTCGAATTTTATTGTAGGTTATGTTACCAGTGGCTTGAAAGTATGAATTTTGTCAGATGTTAAACGTCATCAAATTTATAACAAGTGTTTGTGTTCGTTTTTGTTAAAATGGCCTGGTTCTCAGGTCTCGCTGACAAGGCAGAAAATCTTTTAAATAAAATAGATAAAAATACTGCAGCAGTTTTGAATAAAGATAAATATGAATTACCACAATCCCAATTGACACATGTTACATGGATTCCTCCTGAATCATGGTAAAAACATAAATATGAAATTGTCTGTTGTGACTACATTTCCTGTTAAGTAATTTACTGAGATCATAATATATAATTTTACAAATTGCAGTGTTAAAGCACAAGAAGGAACAGTATTACAATTGACAACAGACTCATCGAAACAACCTTACATTGAATCAACATCAAACCTTTCCTCATTGACAAATTCAGTTGTTAGCGTGTCAAAGGACGAAGAACTTCTTACCTTTTTAAATACTCCTAATTCAAGTCCAAAGAAAAACATTGCAGAAATCTTAATGTCACCACCTACACCTTCATCGCTTATGGTGGAACATCCAACAGATACTACAGATTCTATATCAGAGTTATCAAATCATAGTGATTGTTCAAGTCCTAGTCCTATGCATGCATCCATAGAATTTCCAGATAATTTTAATCGTGATAATGTAAATATAAAAGATGATAATGTTTGTAAAAATGATGTAACAAACAAAGAATCAATAGGGGACCATAGTCTAGGAAGTGTTTTCGATAATGGTAAGGTAATGATTTGGTAGCAAAGTTATACTAATCATACTTTATTTAATTTACATATATATATATATATATATATATGTCTGTGGAAGCATAACAAACTTTTAACATTTTTCAGGATATAATATGCAACAAGGATATGAATATGATGATCAGCAGAAGCATGTAGAAGTAAACAAATTAATCAATTCATCTGATAATAAATATATTAAAAAGTATTTGAAAGAAATAGAAAGAAATTTGGAAGAGAGAACTGAATTACTTGGAAAACAGGAGACAGATCATCAGAAAGAAATCATTGTTTTGAATGAAAAATTACAGTCTTTAAATGTAGAAAAGATACAATTATCTAAGCAAGTAGTAGAACTACAAATTGCTTTAGAACGAAGTAGATCAGAATTAAATTCTACTAGAGCTGATTTGGATCAACATAAAGCTAGAGCTTTAAAAACATTACAAGAAAAAGAAAAATTGATAACAGAATTGAGATCTAATGAATCAACAGGGATGGATGATACAATGATCATGGAATTGAACCAGTTAAGGTAAATTCAATGACATACCAAAGTAAATGTTTAATAAATTGTTTTTAATTTTCAATATATTATTTTCTGGGTAGGCAAGAACGTGACATTCTTAGAGAAGAAAATCAACAGATTTCTGAACAATTAAGAATAGTACGTGAAGAATTAATGAATGCAGATGTAAAGCTAGAAAAGATGAGACAAAATTCTGCTGAAGCAAATGTACAAGCTCAAGAAATCCTTGCAACTGAAAGACGTAGGAGGCTAGATGCAGAAGAAGATGCAAGATTACACTCAGAAGTGCGTTTATATTCAAGTGTACATTTAGAATGATTAATATATACCAACATTATTTTAGGAAATAAGATCACTGAAAGATGAACTAATTCGCCAACGAAATAGTTACACTTCACAGCTACAAAAGAATAATTCTGAAATTAGCAGATTAAGAATGCAATTATCTGCAAGTTCCACACCAAGTAGTGAAGTGGAATCAAGATTGGCATCTCTTACGAAAACCTTAGTTTCGAAACAACAAGCATTAGAAAGTTTAACAACTGAAAGGAATGCTCTAAGACTGCAATTGGAAAAGATAGAGGTGAGTCAATACATTTTTCAGATAAATAGTACACAATTTAGTATAAATATTGAGTTTTATATTTTTCTATAGCATGAACTTAGAAATAGTCGGCGCAATATTCTTTATAATAACTTAAATGATACCGACGATGCCAAAGCTCAAGTACCAACATTTTTAATGGAAACTCCATTTGACACTGGAGTTACTCGAAGGGTGAAAAGAGCTTATTCTTCATTAGATGCTATCAGTATTCGCACAGGTGTTTTTTTAAGAAGATATCCGCTTGCAAGGATTTTAGTACTAATTTACATGGCAAGTATATTAATTACCACAATATGTTTAAAAGAATATTATATATTTGATATTCCATCAAAAATTAATTTTTATATTCTTTTAAACTTCTTACAGGCATTGCTACAATTCTGGGTCCTCGTAGTTCTTCTGTCACAGTCGCCAGAAGCACATTAATACTTTTCATATGCAGGATCATAATTTTATTAAATCGTATACGTTCTAACATATTGTAAATACATTTATATCAGAATAGTATATATATTGTTGACTACTAATCATGTACATGGTGCTTAAATACCACTTTCAAACTATTATATGAGATTTTATACGAGATATAAGAATTTTAGATTCATGAGTAGACTTGTACAATACATGTATGTTAGCCAATATAATAACATCTTTGTATGAAACTATTGCTAATCGGGGATAGAAATTGTACATTTGTGATGAATAATCGATCAAATAGTTATTAAAATTATCATTTATTTTTTCACTAAATTTCACGGATAAACAGGATATTATAATACTATTAGAATGACGAACATAATGTATCTAATTAGAATTATCTTACGAAAATAAATAAATAAATAAATAATTTGATCGTATCATAATTCGAAAGATAAATACCTCCTATCAATCGTTCGTTGAATAATTTTTAAACAATTGTAAATGTCGTTTAAGAATATTATGAATGAACAATAACTTTGAAAATAATCAAGGATTATTTTTATGATGGAGGATTATAAAATAATTTCACGTTACACAAATTAATATTTATCAAATTTGAACGCAAACATAAGATTTCTATGTTCATTGTAAAATATATTTTGAAAGAAGAATTTTTCAGAAACTTTGACAGCTTGAGATCATACTCACTGTGTGCCTAATAATTTATTAATGATCTTAATAGTTTTACTTTTAAATGTGCTTTACATGAATTGTTACAAAATACAGGGGTGCTTAAGATCTAATCTATTTAATGTAATCAATGTTTTTACATTTTTCACTATGATTGTTAACACTTGATTTGGTTCATTCTTATCGTTTATATTCTACGCTAAAAAAGAAGAATATGATATGCTAAGAAATTGAGGCGTGAAAGTAAAAAATTAGACCACTCGTAGCAAGTCAAAATTTTCATCAAAGTTTCACTTTCTTTTTATATAAAATATTAATCGAACGATCGGTCTAATATTTAACGTCACGCCTCTTTAATGAATATAGAAATTATCGATTACAGTTTTATTATAATTCGTCGATCGAATTTACGTCTAATGCTTCCAGTTGTTCTTCAGCAGAATAAATTACAGCTATGTGTATTGCTTCGATAATCGAGATACGATTGTCCGCGTACGTCTATGAAAAGAAAAATAAAATTCGTCGACAAGGAAATACAGTTGCTTCAAAGATTTATTATCACATATATGTGTAATTCTGCGCGAGAAATACTATGATTATCACATGATCACAAAATTAGTTCTACAGTCGCGGGATTTAGCATTGCTTTTTTAGATTCGATTAAATTGTACGAAGTTACACGTGCAAAATACAAATTTCACAGCCACCAATTTTGCAGGGCGTTTTTTCTTTTTTTTTTTCTTTTTTTTTTAATTCTAGTCTAATCGTAGTAGTCGAATAGATGAAATTTCAACTAACATAGTTTAGCGTTTTATCGTAAAAAGTTTTTCTCGCAGTTCTCGGTCCTCAATGGATCATGAAAAAAAATATTAATTAATTATTCTACGTTAATGTATGTTGCAAGTTACACTGATCTGATATCATGATATTTTTGTAGTCATTTAGATAATCATTTCACTGATATACAAGCTTCCTAAATTTCATAGTTACTATTGTAAACCTTAAAGATAAGGTTCTATTTTCTAGTTCTATGCTACCATATACTATGATTGATAAGAGATAAAAAGAAAGATTCCAAAAGTGGAAATGGCTAGCTTCTATGAATAATGTAGCTTTCTCTAGAACTATTTTATAAAATTTAAATGGTGCACAGCTTACGAGCTACTGATGTGTGAAAGAAGCTTAGAACTTGAAACTCTTCAAGAATTTAGTCGTTTTAATATACATTACCTACAATTCTATATAATCTCTTCTTGATTCCCGAACGTCTTAACATTTAAAAATTTGAATTGTAAAATAAATGTTATTAATTTAAACTGGACAACTAATAAAATATAATCTTAATTTGCGTTCGTTTGTCATTCTTGTAGGGTCCAATCGACCTGCAAAAAATATATCAGAGCCGCCGCTAGAGTCATTAGATCTGACTTTTGTTATACCACTATAAATATTTGTAAATTTCTAAATTTTGAATTTATGATATTGAACATTTTAAAATTTATAAATTAGTGAACTTGAAAGGTTTTAAATATGATAAATTATAAATTTTTTAATTTCTGAAGCTAAAAATTTCAATTTATAAAAATCTCTAAATTTAAAGTTCTAAGACTTGTCATAACTGTCCTGTTTACCACACATTAACGGCGACACTGAAAGCGTGCTAAATGTTTCTCACTATTCAAAGTACATTGCATTACTTTCTTAAATGAAATCGTATACATGTATAAGAGAATTGAAATCGAATAAATTAAAATGTTATTAGCCTCTATAGAGCAAAAAAGACTGAATATCTTTTCATAAATAAAAATCCGTTAAAACGTTCCAGTCTTAATCATTTCCTGTCTCTCGTTCTCTTTCTCAAGCTTCGTTCAGTTAATCAAGAAGCGACCATATCCTTCTGTTCCTTTCGTTTCGTTTCCAAAATACATTTCTTTCTTTTACTCGTAACATTTACGATTCGTCGTCGCAAGATTCTTCTGTATCATGATCGCTGCTCGATGACACGTCGCCGTTCAATGAAGAATTTGTTGAATCCGGCGTGGGCGGAAGTGACGGTGATCTGCAGACGATGTTCTCCGTCGAAGAAGACACATCCGTTTCTTTGCAGTCTAATCTTTGTTGAATACACTTGTTCTCAGGATTGTTCAATACCGAATGAATGAAATCTCGAGTCTCAGCTCGCAGTGCATTCACTCTTTTCTGAAGGATATTATTTCGTCGTACCAGGGCCATTGTACGTACCACGATGTCCAGAAGACCTGTGAAATTGATGGACATTTTAGAAATTGTGTTTTAAAAGAGTTTATTTCATCTGTTTTTTTTAGGATATTTTTTTCTGATAAATTATGAAATTTGATATCAGAGATATCTCGAGTTATAAGTTACGCGTATGAAGTCAAAATTAAAATGGTCTAAGAATCAAAGATGGCGGATGTAACATAATGGAAATTGTTAGAAAACGTGCAATGTTCGTGAAAATTAATACAAGGGAGTTTTCATAGTCGTTAATTTCGAAGTTACGATAAAAATTTAGCAATTCAAAATGGTGGACCGAAATTGCAAAATACTCACAATATTAAATGTTATGCGCTGTTAGAATGAATAATCTTGAATGATACGAAAGTTGTTTATTGTTTTTAATATAAATCATACTAATAATAAGCTTCATTAAGCAACTAATAAATTAATTCAATAAATGAAATTATAAAAGAAGCTTACCTTTTCGTCGTGCTAGGAACATCTTCCAATGTTCCTCTATGTCCCTCGGGACTCGAGCGGAAACGTTTGGGGAGGAAGAACTGACGATGCTGGGTGCGCAGGAATCACCTGGACATTCCGGTTCCCAAAGAGGGCTTTCCGGCGGTGTTAGAGATGCTTCGTCGCGGGGGAACGCGTTCGAATCCAATTTTCTTAATTCTAGTTTCTGTTGTTTCATCACAGCTCCATTGTGAACCCTCTGTCTTCGGCGCGAGCAGGGCGTCGTGGTTTTTCTTATTGCTGGGAGCTCCGACAGGCAAACGGTCGGAGCCATTTTATGAACAGCAATCTGAAAACAGAAAATGAATTTTTTATTTAGTACAAATTAATTCGTATCTTGACACACATATTTTTATACATCAATCAGTGATTCTTGTGTACATATATCCAACCCTAACCTAACTTTTTTGTGACACTATTTAACCTATTCCTTAAATGATACTAACTCAATTCTTACATGATACTAACCTAACCTAACCTGTATATTACCTAACCTTTATGTTCTAATTCTAATGTATTCCCATTTAACTTTTTTTACTATCTAACCTTAAATGTTACAATTTAACCTTAATGAACTAACAACCAATTTTTACTAAAACTACATAACCCAATATGAAATACTATGTAGAGAACCTGAACCAGACGTAATTTAATTCGTACCAATGAACTCGTAAGTAGCTGTGGATAGCTTCGAGCAAAATGGTAGGTTATATTTAAGAGTAATAATGTTATAAATCATGAAGCGATCTGTATAAAAAGTAGAATATTATGGGACCAATTGTGCACGGTCATTCAATTCAGTTTCAAGTCGTCTGTCTCTTCGCTTAATGGCGCGAATTTTGATGACCGTGTACAATCAGCTCATTCACAAAAACGTCAACGTTTCCGTTAATCGTGTTCGTAGACTACACGCAAACGGTAATTACCCTCTTGGCGATGTATAGTGCTACCAACCATCTGCGTAATTTGACGAGGAGAGAACAATCGATGACCTACATTGCGCACTGACGATCCGCTTTACTACATGAAAGCGCTCTTCTCGATTATCAAACAACAATAAACGGCTTATTGTGCAATTACTCCAGAGATTAATGATATCGATCGCAGTGTGTATGTACGGAAGTATAACTGTTACAAGTGCGTGCATAACTATTTGATTGTTGTACTATTGTGTATTATAATAAAAGTGTAAGGTGTTGTAACTTGTGTACGCGTCTGGTGAGATAGCAGATGGAAGCGGCGCGGATTTTACTGTATGTACCAACTTTGAAGTATTGTTTAAATATTGAAAATTTTATTTTTTAAAATACTTAAATTATTAATTTACAATTTCAAAATTTCCAACTTTCCAAATTTCAAAATTTATAACTTCTAAATTTCAAAATTTCCAACTTTCCAATTTTCTAAATTTCCAAAATTCTAAATTTTCCAAAATTTACAACTTCTCAAATTTCAAAATTCCCAACTTTCCAAAATTTTAATTTTCCAAATTTCAAAATTTCCAACTTCTAAATTTCAAAATTTCCAATTTCTCAAATTTCAAAATTTTCAACTTTTCAACTTTCCAAATTTCCAAATTTCCAAATTTCTAATTTTTAAAATTTCCAAATTTCCAAATTTTCAATTTTCCAAATTTCCAAATTTTCAAATTCAAAATCTTAAAAATTTAAAAATCATGAAAATTTAAAAATTGTTAAATTTTGCGATATGCAAATTTATAAAATACCAAGTTTGAAAATCGAAAAATCTCCAAATTTCAAAATTTCTAAACTTCACCCCACAAATTCCAAAATTCTAATTCCCTAAATGCTACTCTCTCATTTATAACAATATAGTAACGAAAAGTTACTGAATAAACCATATTAATTTCCAATAAAAAGCTAATAAAAATGCGTCAAATTAAGGTTAGAATATAACGTATTAAAATACGTGAAAAGATCAAATAAGGGATCAAGTAAAAATATGTGAAGGCACGCTCGATAACGACATCAGGAACGACGTTACAATTTTATTTATAAAACGGAAGACGGAACTTTCACTCATTATAAATATTTAATAATACCGGCACGAGCCGGTGTGTTGCACCTTGACCACTAGAAGACACGTGTGCACCTGTGATGACACATTCGATGCAAGGTAACAACGCATTATAATATACTGTAACTGTCTGCGCCGGATATAAAAACACTTTACAAAAAAGAAGATAAAAAATACGGTTGAATAGATTTTTTGCCAATTATTTATTTGTATTATTGACGGATGTTATTTATTCTTGACTTCATACTAAGGTGGTGCTTAAAATTCTAATTTTAAAAAATTGAATAGCTTAATATTTTGCTTTTAATATTGCAGGTAAAATTTTATTATAAGTTATATTAATTTGGGGGTGCTACCTGTTTATTTATATTTTTAATGATTATTTGTTGCACTGAGTTTTTGTTAAAGAGATCAGAAATGATAAAAGAATTAATAAATTTTCATATTTTTAGTTTCAAAGTTTCTAAATTCCCAAAATGCTAGTTTCTAAATTTTTAAATTCTCAAATTTTCAAGTTTATAAATTCTCAAATTCCCACACTCCTAAATTCCAAATTCCTAGATTTCCAAAATTCCTAGTTTCAAAATTTGTAAATTCCCAAATTTCAAAGTTTCTAAATTACCAAATCTCCATATTCCTAAGTCCAAAATTTGTAAACTCTAAATTTTTAAAATGCCGAAATTTCTAGTTTGCAAATTTGTAAATTCCCAAATTGCTAATTTCCAATTTTTTAAATTCTCAAATTCCCACATTCATAAATCCAAAATTCCTAGATTCTAAATTTCTAAATTGCCAATTTCCAAAATTCCCACACTAAAAAATTTCTAAATTGTTCCCCTCTATAATTACAAATTACCTGATACCCAAATCTCAAAAGCACCCTGTATATTCACTGTTAAAAATGGTGGGTTCGTAACCGTTGCAATATCTGATGCAACATTGTCCTTTCGCCGGCTTTAGTGGGCAGAATAACACAGTTTGACAATGAATTTACACGTGGTGCACTCGTACCGGTTGGAGACACGATCGATGCAGGCGATGACCTGATTACCGTGAATGTCGGGTGCACGTGCCTGCATCGAAATAAAGCAATAGAGCCAACCCCGACACGACTTCTCGTCACCCCTCGACCGGTTATACATATACCCGGTGGCTTTCACCTCTGATTTCCTCGCACCACGTGCGCCCGACTAACAATTCACAATTGACAATTATCCAAATAAACTGTAATATACACATTTCAACAATAATCGCTCATTATCTTATCTTATAATGCATTACTTCTGTTTAAATGTTATCTCAAATAATTATACATCACTTTATTTCAGTTTTTAAAGCAAATTTTTTTAGCTTCTGAATTTGTACATTCAAAAAATTTCCGCATTACTAAACTCCTATATTTCATAAATTTTCTAGTTTCTAAATTGTTAAATTTGATTCTATAATTCTCTATAGTTTTCAAATTTATAAATTTTCAAATTCTAAAGTTTACAATTTCTTAAATTTTTTAAATATCAAATTCCTAAATTTCTAAATATCTAATTTTCCACATATTCCTATCCTTAAATCCCTAGATTTTCAATTAGATGCAATACGTTGCCAATTCTTTAGATCTTTATATTCCTAGGTTGTTAAATTCTTACATCCCTAAATCCCTAGGCCCATAAATTCCTATATCTTTAAATCCCTAGATTTACAAATTCTTTTGTTTCTAAATCCCCAGATTTACAACTTTCTATACTTCAAAAATACTCAACCTATCCCTAAATTTTTGAATCTCCAAATATCCCTAAAAATCAACAGTGATTCAAAATCCTTATTAGTTATTTCTTTGAGAAAGACACATTTACTCTTAAATATTCAATATACATACAAGTACATTAGAATAATGCTTATTTGATACAAAAAAATATATTATTTTTAATAATATGTTTTGTTGTATTTTTCGATTAAATATTATCATATATGGTTAGTTCGTACACTAGACATTAACTACTTAACCTACAATTTTCTACGCGGTTGCGTCATGCGCCCGTGACTAATTGATGTAACAACGTGGAGTCAAACAAAGAATGTTAAAGTGTCGAACACATTTTGCATTCATCGAACATTGATTCAGCAGATTATAATTCCAATTGAACCCACAATTCGATTGAAGTGAAAACACGAGTCTGGTCTGTCACGTTTGAACAGTAGCGCGCGTTACGTGTTACACGTCAAATGGTTAATTTAAGACTTTCTAGAAATATGCAAAAACTGTTTCTTCTGCTGTAAAACATTAGCACTTTTTCACGGTGCACACAATTCAACACTTACGTTCGATGACACAAATTGTCAGAAGAGAACGCGTGTCTCCTCTAAATGGTAATCACATTTTAACGCGTTAATGCGTACTGGACCATTTCACCAAGTCGACGCACGTGGCACGAGAGAAAAATGGCGGGATAAGTCAGGGGTGGGAGCCATGATATATCGTAGGTGTGAAACGTATACGCATTAGCGTGGATTCGTACAGGGTGCTGCTTGCATGATACAAACGTTCGTCAGAAGTTACTTCCCCCTCGAATGAAGGCCAACAGGGTGTCTACGATTGCAGAGGGGTTGCATCGTTCGAAAAAGGGCGAGGGGTGGCCTTTGTCTACGGTACACGTGCTGAATTTTTGGCTCTCTACATTTTGTTGCACGCTAACCATCTGGATTCATTTTTATGCCGCTTTATAATGTTTACTGATACATTTTTCGTTATATGATACATTTATATTAAGTATTTTCAAATTTCTAAATTTGAATTTTCCAAATTTCCAAATTCAAATTTTTCAAATTTCCAAATTCAAATTTTTCAAATTTCCAAATTCAAATTTTTCAAATTCCCAAATTCAAATTTCTCAATTTTCCAAATTCAAAATTTGCACATTTCAAATTCGAATTTTTCAAATTTCCAAATTCCCAAATTATCCCACCATCCAATTCTCAAGTTTCTGAACTCCAAACTTACCCAATTTTCATATGTCCAAATTTTCAACTAAACAGATTTTGAAATTTGTTCCAATTTCAAATTAAGCGAAATTCCACTAAATTTCATAAAAGAAAACTTTTTGCCATTACAGTGTACACATCGGTAACACTCAGATTAAAAGTATTCTCCGATAAATACGAAGCAAACACCACGCCCACATGTTTTCTGGAAGATTATCGCGCATCCACCAAATAAGTTATATGGGTTATCGATGCAAACACGATCACCTAACACGT